TAGCACAAATTAGGGTTTTTACGTCTATCCGTAGTGTGACTATCTGGTGCAGAGTGTGGATTAAATTTGGTGATTTAGAGTGAGTTTTAGATGAGAAATAATGTGTGATTAGAAGTAATAATAATAAGTTAGTGAATTATAAGTTAAAACCCTAGTATACGCGATTTAAGGAAAAACGGTTCGGACCGACGGGTACCGTTCACTACCGATTGAACACACCACTTGACCACCACTTTCCTACCATACAATACCATTGATATGAGTGCAAAATATCACCCCATTTTTCAGCTAAGCTTGGCCGAAATATTTGACCAAAAAAAACAAGGAAAAAGGACAAAATGTGAAGGTTAATCTTAAAGCAACAAGTGGCGGCCATCTATTGGTTTGTTGACTAATTAATTTCCACCATCTTTATCACTAAAAACTACTCAATTTATCCCTCATTTTCAGTACACCAGCCGAGAGAGAGAGGAAGAAAAGCCAAGAGAAAGAAACCACAATCCATCTTGAGTTTGATCCACTTAAGTGAGAAAACAAGAAATCTAAACCGATTAATCAATAGTTTGTGAGTTTGGGAAGTTTAAGGAACTAAAAATTTCAAAGAGAGGTGAAGGATATCCTTTGAAAGCTTGTTCTTGAGGTATATTGGCTGTCCCTTATCTTTGGTTCTTTTACTTTTGTTTAAGTTGTTATATAACTCATGATTTGGTTAAATTGGTAGCTATGGAAGTAGTTGTGGTGATTTTGGGAGAATTGGTGAGTTAGGGTTTGTATTGATCAGCCATATTTCTTCTTGTTTAGATGAATTATGATGGGAATAAGTGTAGATAAGGAGGTGAGGTAGTGTTTTAAGCTAGAATTATGAAGATTAGCACTTGTAGGCATAAATTCCAGATTTTCGGTTTTGCACCTCCCCTGTTCTGACCGGCACTATTTGACCATGTTAGAGGCCGAATTAGGTTTAGCACAAAATATTAAAGTTTTATAGAATGATATTTTATGGTCGCCTACAAAATTTCAGCTCAATCAGAGTAATGTAGCCTGTGAAAAGATGAAAATACCCTGACTGCCATAGGAGTAAAGTCAGTGGACAGTTTTGACAGTACACCAAGATGGTCGCATTTTTTCACCTTGATACGTACTGAACTAGCATTTAGCCAAAACATAGAAGTTGTAGTGGGTCTTAGCTTTCCAACGCCCCTAAGAACGCCTTAAATGGATTTCGGTAACCTGAGTTATGGCCATATGAACATAGTGCGGTTAACTGGCCTGTTAGTAGGAATCTGGTTCTGTAAATTGGGAATTTGACTGTGTTATACTGGAATTTGGACTAAGTGGTCTTTATCAAAGTTATAGCCCTCTGTCTTAGCTTCGAAACAGTATAAATTTCACTTCAATCCAATAAGCGTAGCTTCAATTGTGTCCAATACGCTAAGTAACGGTAAATCTGCCTTTTTGGTTTCTTAGCTTAAAACTTATTTTCGGCCGTTTTCCTAGCTAAATCTTGTGCTTGAATGATTTTGAGCCTATGGAACGGCTATTGTGATGAGCTTATATTGTGTATGACTTTGGGATTGATTGAGGAAAAGAATGAAGTCATAAATGGCTGGAAATTGGGTAAATACAAAGGGCGTGCTGCCCGAATTTACGCTCGAGAGTTAGGTAGGTATACGTGCGACTTGAGTAAAGTTTGAAGGTGAATACCACTTGAGCCATCTAGGATATTTGCTACTTTGTTTATCGAGGGTTATAAGTTAGAATTTGGCCGAACTTGTACCCTTGGAAAATGAAATACCGATTACTAGAAATACGTTTTCCTCATTCTTTCGACTTAAATAGTATTTCCAAGTACAAACGCTGCAAAAGGTTACAGTTTGAAAAGCGAGCGAGTGTTTCACGAATATTCTCCAAACGAATGTCAATTACTTGATTCTTATTGAACGAAACGTTTAAGTTTCGAACCTTAGCCATTTTTCAAAGTTCTTAAACAAGAGTTTTATCGCAGATTTGGACTCCAAACCCGGAGTATAACCCTGACGTGATTACTAGGGGCACTTCATTTTGGTGAGTGCTTCCAAATACCTGATTGAACTGGACACTTGTTTCCAATACTTGATCAAAATGATTAAATGATATATGATTGGTTTGATCGGGCAAGAGTGTACTTTATCACACTTGCCCTTATTTGATATATACTTGTTTATTGTTGAAATTGATTTGATATACTTGTTTATGATGTGCGCACTTCCTGGAATTCCAGAAACCCTGTGGCGAGTTACTCGAGTCGAGCCAACAAGGGCTTAGTCGATTGGGTAATGAACCCTGGGTAGCTAGTAATGTCGAGTGGAGTGATATCTCTTCGACTAATCGGTATACTCAAGTACTACCACCAGTGTTTACTGAGGATTTTGGGCCCGGTAAGGGGTTTGAATGGTGGACGGAGAGTAGTGTAAGTGGTGTTCTACTAGATTGGTTACTTACTTGAAAATTGACGGAGTGTCAACTATTACGTGATCAAGCTCCTGGTGATGCATTGGGAATTTGGCTCCTGAGAGCTATTCGTATCCTTATACTTTGAGATGATTGTTACTTGTAGCGTTATTGTTTCTTTTAAAACTTTATACTCGCTCATTTGAGATTGCTACCTGAAGTGTTATTGCTCACTTTTATGAACTCTTCATGCTCATTACTTTGCTACATTGAAACTTGTACTTATAAACAATGGTCAATTTGCTATTTGGGACCTCACTGGGTTTCTAGCTTATTCCACGCCATTTGTTTTCCTTACAGGGATACGACCGAGACGTGAGACGTGTACAGACTAGCATAGTCTAGTTGTTTTGAATTTTGTAATTATACTCGCACTAGTCGCTCGATTAGGGTTGAATGTGCTGAGAACTTAAATCTTTTAATGTATTTTGGGATTATATGGATGGTTGAGATAGAAATGAATGTATTTGTATGTTCCAAACTTGGGAACCATTATTTCGTTTATTATTCAGGTTGCACCTTATTTTAATTGATGCGAGTAAGTGAGTCCTGGCGAGAGTTGGACAGACGGTCCGCTAAACCCTAGGGTATGCCCAGGGGGAGGTGGGACTGTCACAGAAAGTTTGTGCATTAAAAAGGTAACTTATATGGATGACTAAAACTTACTATTTTATTGTCCAAACTTACCATTTTACTTAAAAAACTTACATACAACTAGTTTAGTAAGTTTAATGATGTCACTAGTAAGTTTTGTCAGATAAATGGTAAATTTGGCTAATAAAAAGGTAATTTTTGAAATTTATTTTTTTATTGCACAAACTTACTATTTTACTTGAAAAACTTACATACAACTAAACTAGTAACACTACAAAAAAAAAAGATTTCTAGTGACAACAATATTTGTCAGGAAAATATACGTATTTTGTCAGGAAAAGTTTTCGTGACACCAATGTCGTCAGAGAAGATTAGTCACCTATACGCCGTCGGCAAAAGGTTTTCCTGACAACTATTGGAATTGTCGTCAAGAAAGGTGTTATTTTCTGTGACGCATCATTAGGAAAGGTAATCGTGATGATTTCATCGTCAGGGAAAGACCTCATATTCTTGACGATCCTTTGTCGGGAAAGACCCTGAACTTTGTCACTAAATTTTTGATTGTCAAGAAAAGTCCTACATTGAAACTTGTGGGGAAACTTTAATGACAATGCAATATCATTTTTCCTGACGACAGCTGCATCACTATAATATATTAATTTCTAATTTGACCATTCAGCCTTTTTAAGCCCAGCAATTTTAGTGACAACAATGACCGTATCTTTTTTTTGAATAATAATTTTTTATTTTATTTTAAAAAAAATTTTAGCAGAGCTTCCCCTTACAAATGGACGAAATCTCCCTGCCAACAAGCCCAATTTCAAGAAAAATTAAAACTCCTGACTAAACCATCGCATATCATCTATTTAGACACTCCATCCAATCAAAATATAAAAGTATGCAAGCAAAATATCAACCAAAACTTCACAAATTATCATTAGTAGGCAACCATAATATGTCAAACCACAAAAGTTAACTATGTCAAACATTTACATATCATCACATTCCATGATTTGAAACCAATATAAACATTGCTATTTCTCCCTAGATAACTGCCATATACCTAACATATGCTAAAACCAAAAGATGGACTTTAATTCCATGGTCAACAAAATACTAGAGATCGATGATATCAAAATAGAAGAGTTCTTCAGTATGAGCCAAAAGCAATCCACAAGTTCACCCCAAACCTGTACAATAAAACCAAGAAAAATCTGAAATCAGAGAAATAATAGAATGGTATGCAAAAGATGTATTTTTATTATGATGCATGGATGATCACTACAAATTGCTTAGGGACCACCTAATAATGAGTACAAGCAATGCATTAACTTGTACCAGAATAATTACTATGCTGCAAGTAACCAATAATACACCACGAAATACAAATCATAACATAAATTGTTCCACATCTATTTGCTACTACCTAACTACATCTATTTGCTACTACCTAACTACATTACAGCAATACATGATTTATCCAATAAGCCTACAACTAAAGATTAGCATTTCATGATATTGGGTTAGCCAAGAATTAGACCTAAGCATTCTCCACCAGGTCAAGTTGATGGGGCGCAATATCTGTTCAAGCAGATGAAAGCAAAAGGCCATTTCTCACTCAGCTTTCAACCTTGAGTTAAATGAATGAATTAGCAGCCTCCACTTGGCACGACTGCGATCAAGTCCCACAGTCTTCTTGGAGAAACATGTTAGGTGTCAATCCAATATTTGCAACTAAACTACTCAATCAATACACACTTTCCTCATGAAACTAAACTTCTTGAAGTGCTAGATTTAACTCGTGTGCCGACTTGGCAATTGAACCACCTCTTCTGGAAAACCCCAAAACAAATAAGCAACAAAGAAATCATCATGTGCGTACATTGAGAACAGCAATTTAGGGAGAGAACAATCACCTACAAAGTACAGGCAAGCAACGCTTAACCTTTTCAAGCTCAACAAAGCATGTATTGCAGCGTTCCAACCTTTTGCACCAACCCAACAAGAGTCTCAGAATTAGGAGACTTCAGATAATACGGATAATAAGAGATGTTTTGAGATATTGAATCACACCTTTGCTCTGCCTCAATATCCACTCCTACGGATGAAGGTGCTGATATAGAAGAATATATTACTGACCCAAATACTCTGACCAGCTTCAGAAGCATCTCCAATGAGATATTTTGATGCCTGCAGAATAATATGTATCACATGCCAAGAGAACAGAATAAGTAATCAGCTGGAAACAATTCACATTTACAGGCATGTCAAACCAATAAAGGCATCCATTCAAACAGTTCATGGAAAACCTTTATACAGCAAATTACCTTTTGTTGTAAGAAAAATCTGTGCAATTAGATCTGAGCAAGATAGATAAATATCACCATGTGAAAAGTTTAACTCAAAAGAGTTTTCTATTTATCCGGCACCACGTAAAAATTCAATTAACTGTTTCTATATTACATTGTCACAACGTAAGAAGTTCATTAATAAAACCTGCCTTCTCAAAGTCCAGGGCAAGCCAGTTAAATAGATCTTGTACCTCAGTTTCTTTCATAGCTACCCATCTAACAAAAAGGAAATTTAACACAGAAGTTTCTATTGCCATTTCTCAGCTAGCAAAAGTTTAGATTAAAGCTCACAGCGTGCAAAAGTTGGCAAATGGAAAGTGGGCTGGTAAGAAAAAGATATTAATGGAACAGAAATGATAACTTTTAACTAACATGCACCTATACAAAGAGATGTCAAGGCCAAATCATCATTATTTTTTTTCAATTTACTTTATTATGAAATCACGAGACTGACTTCACTGTACTGTTAGCAAACAGCTTAGATCTATTCCAGATATGTATCATAGATCCAACAAAATTCCAATTGGGCTGGTAAGAGAAAGATACTAATGGAACAAAAATGATAATTTTTAACTAAAAACACACCTATATGAAGAAATATCCAGGTAGAATCATCTTTTTCTCAATTTAAATAACTAAGAAACAGTGTGACTGGCTTCACTGTTATTTTAGCAACCAGCTTAGATGTATGTCAAATGTCTTGTAAATCCAACAAAATTCCAATTTGTAATAGGCTTAGACTATAAAAGAAGCCAGAGACTGCTGCTTAAACATCTTTACCTGTCCATCTCACTTTCAAGAGCATTTACAGGGAAATTAGAAGAACTATGACACATCAACATAATGCCAAGAATTATGACAGCAGAAATTTGTCCTGTAAACCCTGCCATTCCACCTTTAATCTGGAAATGTAAGAACAACAGAATCTGAAGTCGCATATCCAGTATAGATAATCACAGTAGCAACTAGCATCGCTGTCATAATTCTCACATCTCAACTCTGTTAGTAAGCTGAATTCAAGCAATGAGATTTAGGCCGTGGTAAGTCACTAACATGCTCCATTTTTTATTGCAACACTGGGATTTCTCCACCACCAAATTATCCTGGGCCATCTTCATTTTTTTCTATATGGGTGATGCATAGGAAAAAGTGTCAGTAGTGTTCGAAGACTATCCTTGCAGTAAGTAGCAAGGATGCAACCACTGAGAACACATTGCTGGTTTCCCCATAGCCAGTCTTAAAATTTCTTTCAGTGTTCCATGCTGACCTGAAATTTATCTATTATCTTCACCCAAAATAAAATACAACTACCTCATATAAAAGCCACTCAAATGTAGTTCAAACTATGTAGACATACGTATAAAAAAGACTGGACAATAGTACACCCATTTTGACTAACCAAGTCGAAATTTCCTCTTTTTTTGGCCATGAAATCCAAACAACATTACCACACTTCTAATCCAATAACCAATATTTGCACCAGGACATATAACCCAAGGAAATATTTAGAAACTTAATTGTAATTTAAGTACATATTCTTAATCTACAACTGCATTGTATAAAAAATAATGTCATTTCATGAAATATCGATCTTTCATCAAAAGGGTAAGCTAAAAATTGTAACTTTTCTGTTAAATAGCGAAGCAACAAAACTGAAAAATTGAGCTGATTGCAAATTCCATAGTCAGACCTGAAAAATTGAATTGACTCACCAGTCAGAGCCGACTGCCAATTCCACTATTGTACTTTCAGTACCTTGAGCAGAGCTGAAAAATTGATGACTTGGAAATAGGAGGAGCAACCAAAACAGGATACCAACCGGGTCAATTTTCAAAGGATCTCTGTCGAGCAAGCGAGCATCAGCAAGAATGATATCAACAAGTTTTCTACTGATTATATCCCCGGGCACAAGAATTTAAACATCTTCCTGGGTTTTGACGAACAGAGAAAGAGAGAGATGAATAAAATACCCACTATAAAAATAAAAAATGAAACCAATTAAGGACAAAATTGAAGGGTGATTTGGAGAAAAGGAACTGATTCAAGACAAAATTGAAGACAAAATTGAAGGATTATTTGATTTTTACATCACCTTAGACCATCGTGTTGTCTCTCTTGTTGAAAGAGATGAAGACAAGTTCGAGTTCGTTGTTGTTCTTTGTTTTTGGAGATATGAAGACAAGTTACAGATTTGGAGAAAGTGTTTCTTTGTCGTTGTTGTTCCAAAAGTAAGAGATACGGAAAAGTGTTTCTTTGTTTCCCGGTTTCCATGTCATAAGTCTGATTTCCTTCTAAATTTTTTTGGGTCCAAAACGGGGAAAAAACTGGTGGGAAAAAAATGGAGGGAGAATGAAAACTTTTCCTGACGAATTGATGTGGGGAAAGTAACTCTAGACAATGAAAAAAATAGAAAAACATGTTTGCCTTCTGAAGGACATTTGCCTGACGGGTTGTCATAAAAAGTATTGTTTTTGTAATGAATAGGTTGGTTGTCATGAAAAATTTGTCACGAAAGAAATAATTTTTTGTAGTGTATAAGTTTAATCAAAATAATAGTAAGTTTTGTTGGATAAATAGTAAGTTTTACTAATGAAAATGAAACTTTTGAAATTTGCTACTTTGTTGGACAAACTTACTAATTTATCTCAGAAACTTACCTATTGCTAAAGTGAGTAAATTTGACAAAAAATATAGTAAAATTCATTACATAAATGGTAAGATTTAATATTAAAAAAGTAAATTTGTTAAGTAGTTAAAACTTACTATTTTACAAGACAATTTTATCAATTTAGTTGGAAAAGTTTCATGTACCTTTGGATGCATTATTTAATTCACCAATAAAGGGACGCAAAAAGCTATAAACTATCACAAAAGGGAAAGAAAATTGGTTGTTCAGCTCAACTGCTATTATTTTATATTAACTCACCTAACGATATCGGTACCACAACACTATCCATTATTTCATATAATTGGGATTGACAATTCTTAAGGAGTGTGGCCCAACATGATTATGCACTTAAAAAAATTTAGTTGGTTTTTGGAGCAAGACAACCAGTTATTTTTGTGATTGTCATGCCTACAAATTAAGTTGAATAATGTGCTGAATCAATTAGTTAGTTGGGAAGCTTGATTAATTACTTAGTAAGAAATTCAAAATAATGAGATAGTTGGCAAGAGAAATCTTCTCTATGTATCTAGAAGGTTGGAAATTAAGAAGGTTATTGGTAAGTGTGACTAGAAATCTTGTCTATATATTTAGAATGATCATTTACAACTGTAAATTGACCTTGTACACTCCAATGCAATATATGAGTGAAAGAAAGAAACAATTGAAACTAGTTTTGTCTCCAAATATTCTTCTCAATTCTTGACCTAATATTCAACAAAATTAGTATTAGAGCAAGGTTTCAACAAAACCAGAAAAATTTGAGAGATTTTCAATTATACAAGATGGCCGATCATACTAGTAATGGTCTTCCAATTCCCATATTCTCTGGTGAGCACTATGATCATTGGTACGTGAAAATGAGAATAATTTTCAGATCACAAGAGTTGTGAAAATATGTAGAAAATGGCTACAGAGAACCAAAAAATGAAGAAGGTCTCACCAATCAAGAATTAAGAGTATTCAAGGAGCATAGGAAGAAGGATGCAAAAGTTCTTCCAGCAAAGTATGAGTCCAAATATCTTTTCAAGAATTATGGGAGCCAATCATGCCAAGAAAGTATGAAAGATTCTACAAAAGGAGATTCAAGAGAATCTCAAGCTAAAGAATGTTACTCATCAAACTCTTAGAAAAGATCTTGAAAATTTCAAGATGAGAGATGATGAAAGTATTCAAAATTACTACACAAAAATCACTACAATTTTAAATAAAATGAAAATTTTTGGTGAAGAAATTAGTGATAGCAGAATTGTTGAAAAGATTCTTGTTAGTTTGCCTCCAAAATTTGATCCAATGGTGTTCATAATTCAGGAGACGAAAGATATTTCCTCAATGAGTGTTTAAGAGTTGATGGGATCTTTGAAAAGTCACGAGAAAAGGTTGGCTAGACATGTTAAAAAATCTATTGAACTTGCTTTCCAATCAAAATTGAATTTCAAGCCCTAGACCAATGAACGAGAGCCATCTTGCAATTCACAAAGAAGCAATAGATATGGCCATGGAAGAGGAAGATGTAGAAATTCAAGACGAAGAGAAAGAAACAACCTTCAAGAGCCCTTAATGCTGAAAATTCACAGCCTTGCAACTATTGTGTAAGATCAATCATCTTGAGAAAGATTGTTCGCACAAAAACAAGTCAAAGTATACTATTGCAAGAGATTTGCCCATATTAAGAAAGATGGCAGATATAATACGGATCGCCAAGCAAATTTTCTGAAGACAAGCAAGAAAAAAGAAACTTATTCTATACTTGTCACATGGCCACCGAAGTAAAGAACAATGTGTCGTATCTTGACATCGTCTGTAGCAATCATATGACAAGAGATAAACCCATTTTTGTTGACTTGGATGAATTTATAAAGACTGATGTGAAGATGGGAAATGGAGTCATAACTCAAGCACAAGAATTGGGTACAATTGGTGTCCAAACCAAACAAGGTACGAAGTTCATTCATGATTTTTATTTATTCCTGATTTAGACCAAAAATTATTGAGTCTTGGATAGTTTCTTGAACATAAATCTGCATTTAACTTTGATGATTATGAGTGCTGTATCTATGACAAAAAGGATGGTAGACAACTTGTGACGAAAATTCAAATGCTAGCCAACCGAAGTTTTCCAATCAAATTCAATTATAGTGAAAATCAAGCCTTAAAAGCATATGTCAATGGAGATTCATGATTGTGGCCTAAAAGATTTGGCCATTCGAATTTTCATAGTCTCAAAGTGCTTCAATAAAAAGGGATGGCATATGGCTTACCAAGAATTGAGGAGAAACATGAAATTAGTGAAGGTTGTGCATTTGGCAAACAATACCGGCAATCATTTCCTAAAGAAGTTGCATAGTGAGCAAAATGATTTTGGAGCTGGTTCACACGGATATTTGTGGACCTATGAAGACAACTTCTCATGGAGGTAACAAATATTTCATCATTTTCATTGATGATTTTTCAAGAATGACTTGGGTCTATTTCATGAAAAAAAGAATCTGAGGTGTTTTCAACTTTTAAGAAGTTCAAAAGCGTTGTTGAAAATAGAGTGGCTGTTACATCAAGAAGTTGAGAAGTGATCGTGAATAGAAGTACACCTCAATTGCATTTCAAGAATTTTGTGAAGATGAAGGCTCAAAAAGGCAGCTGACTGTTGACTGTTGAAAATGGAGTCTTGGAAAGAAAGAACCAAGCCGTAATGGTGATGGCAAATCTATGTTACATGACAAAAGCTTGCTAAAAGAATTTTGGGTTGAATCCATTTATACAGCTGTATATATGCTCAATCGAAATCCTACAAAGGCCGTGTGGAATCAAACACTAATTGAAACATGGAGTGAAAGGAAACCATCGGTGAAACACTCAAAAAGTCTTTGAGAGCATTTGCTATGCTCAAATTCCAAAAGAAAAGGGTACAAGATTGAGGAAGTAAGTGAAAATGTTTTTTTGCTGGTTATAACTCCAAGTCTAAAGGCTATAGATTGTTTAATTTGAAAACTAACAAAATCATCATTAGTCAAGATGTTGTATTTGATGAAAATGCTGCTTGGAATTGGAATGAGAAAAAGATTGTGAAGCATGCTATTTATCATCATGAAGAAGATGCAAATTCAACAAATGACGAGAAAATGGTGATGATTCAAAAC